ATTTAGCAACTTTCAGACCCTTTTAGCGGCTTTTTTCCATAGAATATTCATACTGACAAACTTAGTGACTTTTTTGGATAAACCTTAGCTATGGTTCAGTTGGAGGATTTCGCCAGTGCTGTCCCGTGAACGCAAGGTCTGACTTTCCCGGAGAAGTGTCACCTCTCTCTGCGTTCTGTGCAGTGAGCGGCAGAGAAGCAGCGCAGAGAAGCAGCAACTTAATACTGTCATGTACCGTGAAATACCGGTATAATTTTGAAAAATACCGTGATATAAATTTTTGGTCATACCGCCCAGCACTAATAAATACTATAGAGATATTATTTTGATGAAAACTGCAAGGAGAGATTAGAATTTAGTCAGGTTAAGGTGCCATATTAAATATAACACGTTTGAAAACAAGGCTGTGAGGGATAAACTTGCAGTCTTTACAGTGGCACGCACTGTATAAAGGTCCTAGATCATGTAATTTTCAAGTAATTTAATAGTGTTTTTGTTTACTTAACATTTATTTATTTTTTTTCGGAAAAACCGGTTCATCAACTGAACACTAGGTATGTTGTTTAAATAACCGTGCATTCCAAGTTCTATTGCTTAGAGCCTTGTTGTCATTCCTGTCAAAAAATAAATATGGTGCTACCCTGACTGTCTTTTATAAATAATTCTCATTACAAGCTTGGGAAGATGGTTGGCATGGTGTGTTTTCAAATACACATCATAAGTGAAAGTGACCCAGAGATGGTGTTTGATATATAGAAGAGATGATAATGTGTTTAAAATATAAGGGAATATACAGTACAGCATTTGTTTGTTTTGTTCGTCTCTGCAGAAAGGGCTTTATATAGTTTTGAGTGTGCATTCCACCCTGTGTTCAGCCTGACGTCAGGCACGTGTCGACTGGACTACTGCAGACCAGAGAACAGGTGAGACCTTCATTACAGTCATTATCATGTTGCAGGTGCCGAGAAAGATATGCTGCACACTAATTCTTGTTGGTATTAACGTCTATATTGTTACTATTCATCATTGTTTTTTGGAGCACCATTAAGAGAAAGCATAAATTTTGACGAAATCTCTCTCACTCTCTTCTGTATCTACAGGGCCTTTTATTTAGTGTTGTTCAAGCATATGATATTTCTGGAGAAGAGAGGTTGTCCACGTACAGCCCTGGAGTACTGCAAACTGATTCTGAGGTACTAGCCCACATCAGATTAATACAATAAATTTATCACATTCATAAGACAAAATCCATCATCCATGGTCAGTCAGCCAGACGTATTGTATAAAACATGACAGGTCATTTTTTAAAATCTTTTTAAATATGCTTCCAGTCTGGATCCAGATAATGACCCTCTCTGCATGCTGCTGATCTTTGACTTCCTGTGCCTGCGCTGTCGCGAGTACACCACCCTCATCCGACTCTATGAGGAATGGGAGGTAAAGAACTTATCGTACTGAACTGCCACAACATCTCAATTGGGTTCTAGTCAGGACTTTGACTAGGCCACTCCACAACTTTAATTTTGCAGAGGTTGACTTGCCGCTATGCTTTAGATCATTGTCTTACTGCATAATCTTGTTGCATTTAAACTTCAACTTAAACTTCAACCGAAGACCTGACATTCTCCTTTAGGATATTCTGGTAGAGAGCAGAGTATGTTTCCCTCAATTATTCCCTCAAAAACGTTGCCCAGGCCCTGAAACAGTAAAACATCCTTCCAACAGCACACTGCCACCACTATGCTTGATCGTAGGTATGGTGTTCTTTTTGTAGAATTTGGTGTTTGGTTTACGCCAGATGTATAAGGACCCCATCTTCCAAACAATTATAGTTTCAACTCATCAGTCCACAAAAATTCTCCCAAAATGTTTGAATTTCATCAAGGCAAAATTCGGTCAAGCCCTAAAGTTCTAATGGGTTAGCAGTGGTTTTCTCCTTGCCACTCTTACATGGGTGTCACTTCCAGGGCTTGATCAAGCCTCCTTGGGGGTAGCCTCCAGGGATTTTTGGCCTGCCCAAAAGCGGGACAACTAAGGTTTGAGGAGTTGTTATGAACAGAGGTGGAGTTTATCTGAATCAGGTGATGGTTACGGGGAATTCACACTGGGCGTCGGCATTTAACACTTCTCATTTACTTTGAATGGGTTGAATGGGTTTTCTTTCATCTTGCCCTTGCTGGGTTGTGTGGCGTTCTGTGGAGGTGTGTTAAGGGTGGGTTTTATAGTAGCACTGAGGGGCTACTGGTCTGACAGTGGAAAAGCAGCTTGAGTTAACTACATTGGCAAATACATTATCACACAGGCCCAGTTGGTATTAGATAACCATTTTTGCTTCAGTATATAACATTATTATTAAAAAACTGTATTTACTCAGGTTGCCTTGTTTTGTTGTATTTCCTTTGACGATCTAAAACACTTTATGCACTCAAGCCGGAGTAAAATGCTGCACTAATACAGTCTCATGAACACGCAGTCATACTAATGGCCAAGGTCAGGATTTTTGCTAAATAATAAAAATTCAATTTTCCACCCAACCCTATCATATGCTCTCAGAAACTTGGAAAATACAGCATGATAAGTATGAGAAAAAAATGTACAACTGGAAGGCAATTTGCAGTAAACATCAAAGCAGCTTCCTTTTTTTGGGTTACTGGTCACGAGGAAAACAGACCGTTCACAATGAGTGCACTGTACCCAACAAGGAAGTAACTTGTGATTTACTTGAATCTAGCCAAAAGATTGTCTAAATACGGGCTGTATTTAGTAATCCTAACAAGCCTAGTGATGAAAACTGTGGTCTTATTTGAGAATAAAATAACATTAAGTATATACATATTTTAAATACACAACACCCATGCTACTGCTACTGTTCATGCTACTTAAATATGTACTGCATGCTTTCATCTCAGTAACAAAATAAACTCGTAACAAAAATGAAAGTAGTGAGAAAACAGCAGTTAAGAAATCATCTCATCATGTGGATATGTTTGCACCTGCTCTGTAATTTGGCACTCCAGTCAACTCACTTTGTTTATTTATATAGCATTTAACAAACAATAGATTGAAAGCAGCTTTACAGAATTACAACTTCAAATTCTATTATAAAGCAACTCTCCAGTGTATTCATGTTTTTATTCGCATCTGACCTTGTTGGCTAAAGGAAGAAATGTTCTGATGTCATTTTATCTTGGAGTTATTTTTTTTTAATATAAAAAAACATGCAGCTTTAACAAGGTTTGTGTAGATTCTTATATCCACTGTAGGTATTGTTTGTAGGTTTTAGTCTCTGACCAGTTACTGATGTATCTTCTCAGCATCTTTTCACAACACAAATAACCTTCAATAATGCATATTCAACAGCTGACCAATAAATATTTAATGTTTTTAGTGGTGGAGATGCAGTTGTCAAACATTTGGGACACAACAAGCAATCTGTTATGCTACTAAATAGCTGTGCTTAGCGTCTAAATCAGGGGTAGGCAACGTCGGTCCTGGAGTGCCGATGTCCTGCAGAGTTTAGCTCCAACCCTGAAAAAAAAACCTAACTTGTCTGAAGCTTTAATAATCCTGAAGACCTTGATTAGCTTGTTCAGGTGTGTTTGATTAGGGTTAGAGCTAAACTCTGCAGGACAGCGGCACTCCAGGACCGACGTTGCCTTTCCCTGGTCTAAATAATACACACTTCACACTGGTACTTTGTACATTTAACATTATCTGTACTTCTGTTGATTCAGGTCCATCGAAATCTGTCCCAGCTGCCAAACTTTTCCTTTTCTGTGGCTCTTTCCTACTATCATCTGAGCCAACAGGAAGACATTTCACCTGTGGAGAACCAACAGCTGAAGCAGAAATCCAATGTACTATTGCAAAACGCTCTCATCATGTTTCCTGGTGGTGAGTTTCAGATTATTTCAACTTGTTTCCCACTTTTCTTTAACAAACTTACATTTTGTATTTAAAAACTAACTTTAAGGTAAGAGGGCCCAACAAATAAATATAAACCAAACAGCGCCATGTTATATTGTTTATTGTAAAGAAGAAACCTGGCTGTTAACACAAGTAGAGTGCATAAAATTATGTGTTTAAAGTGCAAAAAATTCATTTTCTTTCTTTCTTTCTTTCTTTCCTTTCTTTCTTTCTTTCTTTCTTTCCTTCTTTCCTTTCCTTCTTTCCTTCTTTCTTTCTTTCTTTCTTTCTTTCCTTCTTTCTTTCTTTCTTTCTTTCTTTCCTTCTTTCTTTCTTTCCTGGTTGGATGTGGAGACAACAACTAATAAAACAGACCTACAACACGCTCCTTATAAAGATTAATAAATAAAAATGTAAGCGGAGAAAACAAAACCAATAGTACTTTGCTGTATTTTATAAATTTAACTGAGAAATGTATCATTAAATTTAAATTAGAAATTTTAACATTGGCTCAACTTCTTAAACCAGAAGAATGAAATGGCTCAAAAAAATGAAATTTTCTCAGTACTTTTTTTTAGGGATGCACCCTATCGGGCCCGATATTGCTCTCCTGTACTCATTAAAATGCTCCATTACTACTTAGCGTGTGAACAGTGCTGTGTGCAGACAAAGAAACACCAACAACAGAGAGTAGAATGGAGGTATTCGAGATTAAGTTGGCTGTTGCATATGAACTTGATGTCCCATCTGAAAAGTGCCTATAATTTGTGTATTTTGAAGAAAATATCCTTTAATTATTCAGTAATTCATGTAATTTTCGTTCATTTTACTCTGACTATAATAACGTACAATATTTGCTTGAATGTGCTAAATTAAACTAAATATTAAGACATTTTACATATTAAAGGGGTCATGAACTGAGAAATCGAAATTCCCATTGTACTATAAAAACATTATGTAAGTTTCATAACTCAAAACTTTCTCATTAGTCTAAAAAGAGCTTATATTGAAGCCAATCTGCCAAAATGACAGGTTGTGGAATGTGCCACTTTAAGTAATAATGTGGCTAAACATCCCCTCCGCAGAATATCAACACCTGCTTCTACATCATTACCTGTTTAGCCCCGCCCACTAGAGAGAAGATCAATACAGGATCACTACTAGACTAAAAAAAAGTATTACCTTTCAAAGGATCCTAATCCTAGGAAAGTGATTATTTATTTTTAACTATGTGGATGTCTAAGTAGAGCATTATTTGTTTGTTCAGTACATTTCACTGTGGATTATTTGGTAAATAAGTTGCAGTTTTGGCGCAGGCTTTGCAAACAGACTTTTACTGTAAGATATGGAACTGACAGTAATACGACAACATGTAAGTAACAGTGTTAATTATAATGCCTAATCTTAAATTAGCATTAGCTCCTCCCTTCCATATGCCTACTCTGCTCTGATTGGTCAGCTGGCCAAGTCTGTTGTGATTGGTCTTTCCGTATACAATGCGTGTCGGAAATGAAACTCCCATTACCATAATTAATTTTTTGCTCCAGAGGGTTACTTGTAAACAGGGTTGGAGGGTTACTTTTAAAATGTATTCTGTTACAGTTACAAATTACTTCATTAAAAAAGTATTCAGTAATGTAATCCAAGTACCACAATATAACAGTAATGTAATCTGATTACTTTTGGATTACTTCAAGTTACATATGTAAATCAAGTCAAAAAAGCAATATCTAAGTACTTTTATTTAACTATGACTTTAAAACTAACAAAAACTATAGTAAAAACTATTTGAAACGATTAAAAATCGTGTCTTGTTTCACCATCTAGATATTACAGCCCATATATATATTTTTATGTAAAAGGCTATGCAGACATCTAGTGGCTATACAGTTTAGTATTACAGTTTTATTTTTTATTTTTATTTTTTTATTTCTTTAACATGTACAAGTAAAAATAAATATAGTTTATACACAACATTAAAAAATTTACACCACATATTAGTCTATTTTAAAATAAGCCTACATTTCGAAATGTATGTCAAATGCTATGATCTTTCTTTTTCATTGACTGATCTGTGGTGTGGGGACTCTCGTGTTGATTTCTACATTTTCCAGCTCATTTTCCGCTAGAAAACTTACACACAACTGCAGTCATGCACACCATGGAATTTTAAATCACTAACAAACACAAAATTTTAGCTAACATGATGATTTCCATGCTAGTCGTACCTGCAAATGTTCAAGTTGTTTGAGTAGCCTTTGTTAAAGCAAGAGTCTTCATGCATAGCTTACGCTGTACAACTATGTTATTTCCTTTATCCTTTTTGAAGACAAAATAACTGAAATTTCCAGACATGAAAACGTTTTTCCCAGCAGGAAGCATCGTAATTAACTGTAGCAGCGTCTCATCCCGCGTTTGAGGAGAATAATTGTAGATGGCTGTTATTTGCGCACGCACCAGCAGGTGGCTCACGTGAGTCAATTTGAGTGTCAAAAGAAACAGAAACTACTGTATGATGAATAAGCGCTAAATATAGTGTTATTATGTCAAAAACTCATTTATTTAATTTTAAATTAAACAAATGTAATCCTGATAGTATTTCCACTTTTTACAAAATGTAACTGTAATCTGAATACTTTGTTTTTTTATGTAACTGTAACGGATTACAGTTACTAGATTTTTGTATCCTGATTACGTAAAGCCGTTACAAGTATTCCGTTACTCCGCAACCCTGCTTGTAAACATGCTATAAGGTTACAAAAATGGCATCGATATTACCTTATCAATTCGAGCCCGAGTCTGAGGATGATACCGATGCAGTCGCCAACCGGAAACTCTATGGCAAGCACGACTTGATCTGGTAGTTTCTCAGTGGTAAGTTTAAACTTTGTATGTGGTACTTTACGTGATGTGACAGCAGTTTTATTGCATTCATTATTATTATTATTTACTTATTTGAGGTGCACATGTGGGAACTGTGTTAGAATGCCCAGTGAGGCTGAAAACACAGCGTCTTCCAGGGCTCCAGACTGCGACTAAAACGGTCGCATTTGCAACTAAAAATATTAATTTGCGAGTGAAGTTTTTTGCTGAGGTCGCCACTGGCGACTATATAAATGTACATGTTATGATTTAAAAATTTGCATCTAATGAATTTTTTTTTCTGATTGTTTTGCGATCACATCTTTTGTTAAGTTGACATAATAAACGGAGTAGATGTGCATCAAAGTTTTAGTGGAAAATCAGTCCTCATCTCTGCTGAACAGCAGCGTTGATGGCACATCTGCTAAAAGCAGCTCCAGATGTGCAGCACGAGAGAGCGGAGATGTGCAAAGTAAAAGTGCGGAAAAGCAGTGTCTATTTCATGCGCAACTTGAACAAACTGCAACAGGTAAAGCTGTCAGCTGTGTGGATATTAGGGCTGGTCCGAGTACCATTTTTTGAGCTTCGAAGCTTCGGTAGTAATCAACACCGAATATTCAAAGCTTCGGAGGGAGGGGGCTGAACATATTCTTCTCTCTAATAAAGGCAGGAATCTCTGTGTGTCTGTTTGCATTTTTATTATGTCGAGAATAGGGTTGTGACGGTGAGGAAATTTTCCCACCGGCTAATCGACGTGTGACAACACGGATAATACCGGTATCAACGTGGGGGCAGGGGCGTTTCCTCTTTTCCTCGCTTTCCTTTGCTTTTAAATAGCTTGTAAATGCAACGTACACATTTTACTTTCCCTTTCAAATAGCGGCAATTCGGCATAAAGCAATTGCTCATTTTTAGTTTGTTTGATTTTTCCTTCTTTTGCTCGTAGAAAAAACAAGATTTGGTTTTTAAAAAGCCTTTTTCCAAAAGGTACATCTGGAAAAAGGGGGATCGTCTTATAATCAGGGTCGTCTTATATTCGGGCCAATACGGTAAATGATTTTTATTAGGCCTACTATAAAAAATCAAAACAACGGCGGGGGTCGGTGCCGCGGTGGGCAAGTGACGTAACCGGTGTTGTGGCTTAACAACGGTATCACCGTCAGCACAGTCTATGCACGTTTTTATCATGTGTAAAATTACTGATTAACATGGCGGATAAAAGCAGCTCGTTTTTTACACCAACAATATAGGCCTACTGTAGGCTACTACTTACAGAACTTTTACAGATTTTTCAAACTTGATGTGCTGTTGTGGTAGGCCAGTTTCAAATCGCATATTTGGCACACTGCCTTTGTCTTGTCATCACTCAGTTTAAAGTGCTCCCACACAGCTGAGGTCTTCGGCATTTTTGTCTTCTCTTCCAGATGAACTGAATCATGACATTCATGACTCATGGGACTCATGGGTTCACTCATGGGCGATTCATATTCAAGCGCAAATGAAAACCGTTTTGCGGGGGATGCCAGGTGTTTGAAAAAAAAAAGAAAAGAAGAATATTCGAATCTCAAAATTGAAAATCGAATGCCAACCCACCGAACGAATATTCGAATAATCTAATATTCTGGTCCAGTCCTAGTGGATATTAGCAATATCATAACAATTCTATAATCGACACTAGGGCTTCTTGTTATCAAGATCTTTAGTCTATGTTCTGTGTTCTGTTAATGCGTGAGCTTCATATTATTTGCCGTGGCGGAGCCAGGATGTTTTTATAGGGGTGGCCAGGAAGGGGCCAGCAACCAGTCTGGGGTGGCACAGAAATCTTCATTATTTCAATATAAAAATGTGATTGACTATAAAGTATTGGACTGTTTTAGTGCCTAAAACACAACTGAATACAATTTTCTACTAAATTGTAATTGAGATATTTGTGAATTAGATCAAGTAATGCTGAGTGAATATAACAATTTGTGTATTAGTCCCCACCTCCAGGTATTTTAATAAAGGGGCTCACTATAGCTATATTGCTCAGTCAGCTTGGTTCTGGTTCTCAAACCCCCCAAAAGCTTGTTCTCCATCATTGCATACTCATTGATGAGACATGCAGATAGTACCAATAAGAATTG